TTAACCTTAAACCGCATAAACACATTTCATTACACCAAATACACAAAATAATGTTCTTTTTAGCAGCATCATATGACCCCTTTAAATAGAGCAGCTACACCTCCACCTCTCCTAAAAGTCCTGTAAACACTCATGAAAGTAAAGTTAGGAGGGGCTGTTTCATTGAGGACCGTTGCACTGCAGCTGTCTTCTAGCCACACATTTTTTAAATGTCAAAAGCATTTTCATGGTGCACAAACAGATCAAACGTAAGCAGATAAAGTAACAGTTTCATAGCAACTTAACGATCAATGGACCTCGATATCGTTTCCCTTTTTAATATTTGCGATTATACACCAGGGAGCCTTGATATCGCTAAGCTAGGAATAGCTACAAACATGTTTATAAATGCTAAAAAATACAAATATTTTCAGTTACAGCCATTGTGTACTTGCTGTGATAACTTTCTGTTCAATCACATGACATGCGAAAACACCGCTCACGTCAAACAAATGCGTTTATGGCTGCAGATATTAGACTTATATGTCATAGCAGTAAACCTGTCCATAGACTATATACAGTCAGTCGGTCCAGAGTGTTTAGACTATGGTGTTTTCCAGAGCAGGAAGTCTCAATATGTCATGTGATCAACACAGCTGCAGATCAGACAAAACAGAATATGTGGCTGACTGTCCTTAAATGCAGCATTAATGTGCAGCCTGGTCAGCATTAATGTTTCCCGGTGTATTAAATACTTACCACTTCTAGAAGTGATTAAAACGGTTTGTGTGGCTATAGAGGGGTCGAAAACGAATTATCTTTTTTTTCTAAATCATCCAGCGATTGAATCTTACAAACAGCGCTGTTTTATCATACTAGATACATTTGAAAGTTCTGTTATAATGCTACTCTGTGCGGTCATCACTGGTCTAATAAAACACACAACATATTAAAGCGTCTTTGGCGTTTCCATGTTTTCTACAAAACAAAACCGGAAATCGAGGGGTTATGACGTCATTGGTAGGTGACAGAATGACACTATAGACACGGTCCGTGTCACTAGTTAAAATTGCTTATTTCTCTGGATTTAAACATTCTTCGAAACATTTGGAATAATGCAAGTACACAAGTCAGCAAAATATATAACACTGTTCTAGTGGTTTTTGGATATTTTAATAAAAAAAAATCTTACATATTGTGCCTTTAAGTTCTACACTAGAGATGATGGGAATTTAAAACCTACATGATACAGTATTTCACATTATCTATAGTGCTTGGACATTTTCAGCAAGGTGCTACAAGAGGTTTGGGCTTCCCGGTAGATAGAGTTGACCTGCAAGTGAGTATTGTCATTGTTTTTCTTTTAACCAAAAACCATTTAACAAGAAATATTCAAAACATATTACACCTTTCAAATGAGGAGCTTTCTGATTTATGCCAAAAATGTGGAGTAGTTTACATATGTGCGATATAACATGAATAGCACTAAATTATATTAAAGGCCATAAAAACATCTGAAAAAAATCTTAGCAGAGCATAATTCAATGAGAGCTGAAACAGACACATTTGCCTAACTGATGATGACAAGAAAATTGGGCATGATGGCTGGTCCAGACAGAAGAGGAAGATCCAATAGAAAATGGACTGATGATATCAAACACTGATGTGGAGAACTAGATAGAAAGTTATGAAAATTAAATAAACAGCATTGATCCCACGATTATTGATTTGTTGATGAAACAGCACCTCAAATAGATTAAAGCTTATGGATTCTGACAAAACACAAATTACATCAATTGCATTATCTGAAATGTCTTGTTTTTGTTTCAGGATTTGTGGATGTCATACTTAAACTAACTCAAGTTCAGTCCAAAACTTACACCTAGACCTTTGCAATAATGGCACTACAAAAAGGGTTACTCCATTAACTCGACTGCAGATGACCAAGCAGTGACACTGCTTTTATGTTTTTGAATAAAATCCCTTATCAAATCAACTCACCAATGCTGCATTTATTTGATAAAAAATACAGCAAAATATTATTACAATTTAAAACAACTGTTTCTAGTTTAATATATTTAAAATGTCATTTATTTCTATTTTCTTCTGACATTACTCCATGTTGTTTTATCAATGTTGGAAACAGTTGTGCTGCTTGATATTTTTGTTGAAAAGTGATACATTTTTTCAGGATTTAATGCGTCCTCGCTGAATAAGTGTATTAATTTCTTTCAAAAATAAAAAAAAAATCTAATGCACCTTAAACTTTTGAATGGTACTGTACTAAGTAGGGTTGGGAATCGAAAATCGATTCCGATTCCAGAATCGGATACTTAAAAGGGTCATATGATGTTGCTAAAAATAACATTATTTTGTGTATTTGGTGTAATGAAATGTGTTTATGCGGTTTAAGGTTAAAAAAACACATTATTTTCCACATTCTGTACATTATTGTTTCTCCTCTATGCCCCGCCTTTCTGAAACGCGTCGATTTTTACAAAGTTCATCGGTCTGAAAAGCGAGGTGTGCTCTGATTGGCCAGCTATCCAGTGTGTTGTGATTGCCCGAATACCTCAAGCGTGAGACGGAAATGTTACGCCCCTTACCATACTGTGATGCCGTCTCCTGGCATGACGAGACAAAACCAATAAAACCCATTACAAACGAGGCATTTGTTGCATCCAGTGGGGACATAATTACAGATTATAATGACTTATACTGTCTTTTTACGCGTTGCGTTGCATCGTGCCGCGTAAACATAAAACCATGTCTGCATTTGTGATCGGAGAAAGGACAAACAGCAAGCGCTACTATAATTCAATTAAATTTTTCAATTAAAGTTTATTTGTATAGCGCTTTTCATGATACAAATCATTGCAAAGCAACTTTACAGCAAATTAAGTTTCTACAATATTTAGTGGTAGCTTATCAGTGGTGACTGTCAGTTAATGTACATATGGCAGAAATGTACGGAAAAATCAATTAAAGATGTAATCAAATAGACGGTGAACACTATTAAAAGCAAATTTTATATGATGCAATCAAACTTATAGCAAAATTTGGTAGTTCTGTATGTTGTTTCAGGGTTGGCATCATCTGATGTCCTCTGAGGGGTTGGCATCATCTCTTCTCAGGTGTTCTGGATCCAGACTGAA